CCGGCCGCCGGGAGGGCGCCGGGGGCAGCGGCCGGCCCGGCGGGGGCCGCCGTCAGCTGAAAGAAGGCGCCACCGTGCCTTGTGAGCGCACCCTAGCTCTGCGGTACAGCCACACACACGCTTCTTCCCGGGCGCCCTGTTTCTTGACATACACGGCCCTTGGTGATCGCCGGGCCTGTCTCCTCCCACCCATGATACGATACACCGTGCGTCATCGTTCTTTAAACAAACGAAGCTGTTTCAAATCCTTCGTGCAGTTGTGCTATGCTGTTTCTTCTACTGGCGTGCAACCCCTGTGTAGAACTTTTATGCGAGGGGGGGCCCCAAAACCGGAATTTATGTATAAAAATTTGTGTATGTTTAAACTTGAGTCGCTTTCTGAGTAGTCTCCGTTTGATGCAATACACCTATGGAGACACTTTTCCCACTGCTCAAAACAGTTTTTGAACTTGTCAATTTTGATACTTTTTGGTACTTCTGCCATGTTTTTGTTTCACCTCTACAACATTGGCAAAACGTTTCCCTGTGAGGTCTTTTTTCATCGGGGAAACAAAAAGTCCCTCGTAAGAGACCAGGTGAATAAGGAGGGTGAGGCATGGGGGTCATGCTGGTTTGGGTCCAAAATTGCTGAACACTCAGCCCAGTGTGGGCAGCTGCTCTCATAAATCACCCACCATGAAATGGACAAAGGCGTCTTCAAGAATCTCGAAAAATAAAAAAATACGCCGAATGCAGGCTCTCACAACGATGCTACCTGGTACACTGATGCTGATGGGTCCCTAGAACACTTACCTAGCAGGAGAAGCCTGTACTATAAGGGGCCTGCCCTCCAAAAGACAATTCTGGTTTTCTTTTTTCAAAAACTCTTACTCAGGCTGACTTCAAGCGCCTTGACATCCACTCCACTCCTACTCTACTCGTCTCTAACTGCACTCTTCTCGGAACTTTGCACATATTTTTATCTCTGTAGCTCCCGCGCTGTGTAATAGTTTACATGATGGTTGTTCCAACTATTCTGTGAACTCCTTGAGGCCAAGGTCCAGATCTTGTTGTCATTTTATTTCTAAGGCCTATCATTTGATAGATATGCCAAGTTGAATAATTCTATCCCACATATATTTTGTACGTTCTCCTGTCATCTCTTCTGATTTAGAATCACCAATTTAAAAACAACAAAACCAAAAAGGAACAAAATGACAAAACACATGAATGAGAAAAGCTGTTGGAACCAAAGTTCTGGTTATGACAGGAGCTGGAAAGAAATATGAAACCTCTGGGCCTTAGCCAGACAGAAATTACAAAGCAGAAATATAACAGACTCCAAGACAGTGTAGCCAACAATAGAAAAATGCGTAAAGTTAACCTGGAATGGCCCAGCAACAAACATTTTAAAAGTGCACGATGGTATTTATATATAAAAACTGCATTACAAGTAGTACAAAACCTTATTACAGGAATGACCAGTCCCCTCGGTGTCTGTCCCTTGACCCACCCATGTCCAGTATGAATCCAACCCTCAGTGTCCCTGACTGGTTCCTCAGGCTCCCCATTGGGCTATGTGCGCACATCCCTCCTCCCCACACAAAGGACCTTTGGGATTTATTAAAAATTATGCAGTCTAAAGTTTTATATGCAATGTCTTGCTGCTATTTCTACAAAAGTCAAGGTGTAACACAATGCAATTTCACAAGAAGCTGAGGTGATGTGGCCCAGGTACCTAATCGCTCTGGGAGCCCACCTGATCCAAGGGACTATGTTACATACGACCTTCATAGTTGTTAGTGATGACCACGCCTTCCAGTCCTCTAGCTTCCCAGTCAGCAGGCATGCCAAAGCTCCTGAGTGCTGAATTAGCTAGTGGGGTTTAAGGAAAGCACTGTATTTTTACTACTTTACTCCTAGGTAGAAAGGGCATCATTTTTTAAAGTCTCATGGAAAAAATTCCCTTCAGAATTCAGTGTCTGGAAAGGTTGGCAGACAATACAGGGGCTATGCTTCTGTATTTATGATACTGAACTGTCACTTCTTCCTTTCTCCCTTGGCTGCTGAGATGGCCAGAGCTAAACTTTAGGCAGCTGGGTTTATCCTCAGTGTCCATATATTTGCATTGTTCTTTTTTCTCATCCTGGTTTTTTACCTTGTTGCTGCTTCTCTCTTTCTTCCTTTGCATGAGTCCCTGTGTAAGCTATCACATGTTTCTTGAGGTGAGGCCGTCAAACAAGGTAAACACTGAAAAGAAAGAGCCCCCAACAAAGACATCTAGAGTAGCATCTTCTCTTTTTTTAAAGAGACATGGTCTCACTCTCTTACAAAACCAATCAAATACATCAAAGATCTTACATTTCAGTCCAAACCAAATAATATGCATTAACTTTATATTTCTCTCACTTCTAAATGTGTTTGTTCTTGCTTCTTCTAAGCCCTCATCCCTCAGGTTGATTCCAGCCAGGGAATCATAGGATATTGTAGATCGTCCAATATTCAGTTCACCGCCCACAAGACCGTTTCTCCTGTTTGTGGCCTAGTTCTGAGATATTCCATGATTGCTTCCTTCCCCAGGAAACCTAAGAAATAGTTTCATTTTCATGACGGGCAAGGGCTTCAGGAAGAGTCGTACCACAGGGTCCCTGGAAATGAAACCTGAAAGAGAAGGGACAAGACAAATACAGCAGAGTTATGAGCAGCAGGTTAGCAAAATTAATATACTGCTTCAGTAAGCACCCATTTCTTAGATTACATCCAAAGTAAAATCCCGATTCTCATAAATACGGTATTTTGAATTTCTATGCTCACCTCTTTCATATCGTTTCTGACAACTCAAGTTATAATAGTTCACTATGGGCGGGCCTTGGTGACTAAGGGATTTAGAGAAACAATTGTCTAGAATGTATGTGCTATCAATGAGAATTTTATTTTAGGGGGTAGAAGGAAACATGATGGTAAAGTATATTTTCTGACTGTATTGCCAAACTCATCACCGAAATTGTAAGTTAAATATATATACATTGGCCAGGCTTGGTGGCTCAGCCTGCAATCCCAGCACTTTGGGAGGCTGAGGCGAGTGGACTGCCTGAGCCGAGGGGTTCAAGACCAGCCCAGGCAATTTGACGAGACCTCATCTCTTCAATAAACCAAAAAATTAGCTGGGTGTGGAAGCATGTGCCTGTAGTTCCAGGGAAGGCTGAGACAGAAGGATCACTGGCACCCAGCAGGTCAATGCTGGGCTGGCCATGAGCGTGACACTGCACTGCAGCCGGGCGGTGGAGTGAGACTCCAACTCGAAAAAAAAATTATGTGTGTGTGTGTGTGTGTGTGTGTGTGTGTGTGTGTGTATGTTAAAACGGCATTCACATGTACTGAGGACAAGAGAAAAACCCTCATACACCATAAGACTGTAAAGATTTCAGCTGAGTCAATAAGCTTCTCAAATCATCCACTGGACTTTATGACTAGCCTCTTATAGTTAGAAAGAAGAAAAAGAGAAAGAGGAGAGAGAAAAAGAAGAAAAATCAATTATTTCTGTTTCTATCAAGGAAAAACACTTAGGACTGGGGGAAAAAACTATGAATAAGAAACAAAAGCAGGACTTTCTAGTGCATTAATAATAAGAAAACCAGCTGAGCCCAATTAAAAATGGAAAAGGCATTTTCCTCAATGAAATTCATCATGCACATTACTTATTACTGATACAATACAAATCATGGCTGCCTTAGCCCTAAAATACTCTGTTCCCTCAACAGAGTGTCACTAAATGTGCAGCCCTGACCAAACGGCATTTCCAATCCCTCTGCCACCCACAGCATGCTGAGCACTGGCTGCTAGAAGGCTCTTTGCCAGCATGGTGGTTATCCAGGAATTACAGCCAGGCATGGAGGGGGCTTTTAGGGAGTTACCAGATCTTCAGCTTACACCTCTTCTCTTTCCTAAGAAAAGTGACTTTCAAGTACCCCTTTGTGCATTCACCCTGCTCCCATTCTTCAGAAGCAAACTGGACCCCTTGCCCATCCCAGATTTCACAATGGTGCCTTATCCCTGAGTGTGAAACGTATCGGGCGCTAAGTAAAGCAGCATTTGGAATATCGGGAAACAAGTGGTTTCCATAGGCTGGGTAATACATCCTCCAGCAAGTAGGGCTGTTTCATTCTTGCTTTCAATAAAGCTGAAAGAGGATCTGATAGAATTGTCAATGAACAGATCTCTTAACGTAATACAAAACTACTATGTGAATTTGGGCACATAACTTGGAAGGTGGTCCAAAATCAGAGTGGCAATGCTATAACAAAATTCCTTTCCTGCCTGGAGTTTAGGTAGACCAGGTCTCTCAGTGCTGACAAATACAAAAAAGCAGAAACTAAGAATTACAGCTGACATGGAAAAAGTAACATTTAGTTTGGCTAGTAAAAATCTGCCCAGCAAATCCTCAGATTGGAATAAAAGACACAGATAAAGCCAGCTACAAGGTTAATAGAAAACAATATATTTCCCCACCCCAGGATAAGGTGCAAAGTATCTTAACTCCCTTCTTCGAGTGACTGCTGCTTTTTTCACTCACTGAAGAATTTTGTTCTTTAAAATCATGAACTATCAAAAACGTTGCTACTTGAAATTACAGCAGTAAAAAATGACTTAGATCCCTCGGAGCCTTGTTGGGAGCTGGCCACGGAGGCCCACTGAGCGTTAGGGATCAGGGAGGGCCGTGGACTCCAAGACCGCTAGGATGTGTTCGGGAGCTGTTGACCCCATTTTCCTCCTCCTTTTACCATGCAGCGCAAGTAACCTAAAGGAACTCTGCTGATCTAAGCTGAAGGCTCTGTGACTGTGACAGGCATGGCTCACTCTAGAAACTCATTGTTCCTGTTTCCCATAAACTGTGGTTTTGGCTTAGGTATTAGATATAATTCAAATTCAGGTCACATTTGGGAGCCTTTTATACGGTACAAGCCTCTTTATAAGATTTAAAAGTATATTTGTAGAATTAGTATATACTTACGGAGAGCTGTTTTCAGCTTTTCAATGGTATAGATGACTATCTAGAGTTATCAGAAATGGCCCAGCACAAAGCTTGGGCTGGGCCACATTCCTGAGGGCCCGGCGCTCTTTGGACTGGGCTGCATTCTTTTAGGCCGGCATTAGCTACAGTTAGTGTAGGATTTTTCTATCTATTATAGAAATTGAATTTATTTTATTCATAGAAAGTATTGTAGAATAGGTCATGCTAACATCAGGGAATCATGTTAGTTCAAGCATGATCAATTATGATATTTTGAGGTTTAATAAGAATACAGTTAACTTTAGAAATTTCATTGTCTCCATTTTCTACTATTGTGGTTTTGGTCTTAGTACATTTACAATTTATATTTGGGTTTTATTTTTAGAAGCTTTGTTGCTGATGATCAGCTTTATATATTAGGATCAGGAATTAGAAACTTTCATAGAAATTAGGATATATAGGACTTTAAATAGCCATTTTGTTAAGAGATTGTAGTCTATTGCTCCAAAAAGTGGCCCACTGTGAACCTTGGACTGGGCCACATCCTATAGAGCCCAGCGTGATCTTTGGACTGGGCCACATTCTTTAGGAATTGGTTTAAGCTATAATTAAGAGCTTCCGTAGCATTGTGTAAGTAGTATTAGCATAGAATAGAAAGGTAATAAAGTTTAAGTTAGTCATCATGGGTATTGCGTGAGCTTTCGAAGTTATTGATTATCAGAACATCATTAGGCTCATAGGGATTGTTGCACTGCTTTTGAAGAGCATTAACTAGCAAAGGGAACAATAAGACAATCTTGGGGCTTGTCCTTCCTCATACCTGAGAAAACATCTGGTGGGTGGGGGACGCCCCTCCTGCACCTGGCTTTGTGTTCATGTGAAAGACTTGTGAGACTGTCTGTGTAAAATTTGGGGATAAATACCTGCTGTAACTTTCAATAAACGGCTTCTGCTCATTTCACTGAACAGTTGTCCACTTTCTTTCTTTCTCTCTCTTCCTCTTTATATCTATCCCTTCATCTTTCTTTCAATATCTATCCCTACTACAGAATCGGCTTCTGCACTAGACAGAGTCCAGTCTCTTTCTTTCTCCCCCCCCTTTCTTTTTTTCTTTATTTCTCCAGAATAATCGCCCAAGCTGCCACACCTTCCAAGGGACCTCCTAAATCTCCCCAAAACTTACAGGGGCTGGCCCCCTGCAGTGCCTAAGGATCTAAGTATCAGAGTTTTCCAACCCAGGTGCAGAGCTTCAGAGAAGGGGTTTCTGGACACAACATTTCACATCTATCATGACTTTGCTATTTCTGAGAAAAGAGGACCCTGGCCTACTTTGCCAGCCAGACCAGATGCTGACTCCTTTACACAACAACCTGCTAGTTGCGTGAAGTCTATCAGAAACTGCTTCACTTAAATTTCACTTAGACTGTACCCTACCCCACCTCCTATAATAACTCTGTCTTTTCCTTTGTTTGGGTACATAGCCCACAGTTCCACCAGGATGCAGTATCTTTCCTTGCATTGAGTCAATAAACTTGACCTTGACAGACTACTGGTTTGTCTGTGGTGATTGTAGGTGGACTGGCCTAGAACAGGAAATGTCTCCTTCTAACAACATGTAACACTCAGCCATGAGTACATAAGCCCATCAAAAAGTGTATGTATGTTCCATTTATCTATTAAGAGATGCATTTCCAATAAAATTTTACTGTTCTAGAATTAAGCTAAACTTATTTATTTCTTATTTCAACAACGATGTATACAGATTACTATAGTAATAAGTCAAAGAATTTTCAAATAAAATATTTTTAACATTTTAAGGAAATTTTAAAGATTTAATAATTCATATGCTATTTTGTTGCAGAAGTATAGGTGTAAGTCAAGCATAAAAACGTATTACATTAGTATAAATTTCTGTAGCAGCAGTAATGGAGGGATGAGTTCAAAGAGAAAAGAAAAATGTGACCGTTCCAACTATTAAAGAAAGGCTTGTATATTTATTTTGTACATGGATGAAGGTGGTTATCAAATACTACGACCTTCAGATTTGACTGGATACATTTAAAACCATGATGCTGTTCAGGACCAACTTATGAGGAAAACATAGTATTCAGTTCTTTGTTTTCGTGAGAGGTCACTGAATATGATAGACTCTAAATCCATCCAAGTTGCTGCAAAGTCCATACTTTTATCCTTCTTTATGGCTATGTAATATTCCATCATGTATATGTACCACATTTTTGTTATCCAGTCTACTTTTGATGGGCAGCACAGTCGTGGGACACCGTGGGGCAGGGGGGTTGCAAGATTGGGGGGCACATAATATCACTAAGGGTACCTGATCCTAAACCAGGGGAAGTGAGGACCAGTGGGAGGCCCAAACTTCACCTGGACATCGACCACTTATGTACCTAAACGTGACTTTCACCCCACATCTTTAAAATAAAATAAAGAGAAAAAAATAAACAATTTTTTAAAATCATGATACTGGAGTTGTATTTTTAACAGTATTTCTAAGGCACTTAGAATCACATCTTTTTCAACTATTTCTGATTTTTAAAATGCTAGATGTCAATTTCTAAAATATGAAAGGTGTACATGAACAATGTTTGAAGACCTCTTTTCTTTTTCTTTTTTTTAGTTGGGGTCTCAA